ATATATATACACTGATATAGGTGTCCTTTCACTAAGAACAGTGTATAGCAAACACACACCCCTGACGATTTCGCCAGCCCCTAGTTCCTATAGGTGCATCAAGTATACGTATATACTCGCTGACCGAGGAATTGACGTAGCAGTGGAGCAGTGACGAGCACGAGGATTATATGTATTATAAAAAAGAAAAAAAAAAAAAAACTAGAGGGGATGGTCGGTTAAGGTTCCACACCCCCGTCGTCTGCGGAGGCGCCGACGGGGCCCACGTGGTCTGGATATTGATTTTCGCTGCGGTGCGCACGTACCCGATATATCTCGGCACAAGGACGTTATACCTGCACCCTACGTCCTTAGGACTCTCCTTTTTCCGCTACGGTGTACTTATTTATAATATCTTTGAAATGGGCCCCCTTACTCGGGAGGCACGTTCGCAGACACGCTTGGGACCTTTAACCGAGTCGGATAACGAGAGAAAGAGAAACGCCGTGGTTTCTTCGAAACTCGCTTGTTTCGTCCGAGGCAGGGAACAGGTTGCTCGTTTTCGAGAATATCCGTCCAATTGTACAATAGGTGCACGTTCGATGGCCCTTTCTTTCTTTTGCACAGGCCTTTAGAGGAGCGTTGGAAAAACGAAAGGAGCGAAATTAAGGGATTCGTTTTGCTCGGGATTGAAAAACATCGGGCATGGGGTGTCTTTTATTGGAAAAGTTTTAAGTGTATAGGGGAACAACAACAACAACGAGGGATAAAGAGCAAAGGAAATAAAGAAGAAGAAGAAGATTGACGTTGGATCGTAATCGGAAACAAAAATCTCACGAGAATGTTGATAACGATAAAAATAGTGCATCGGCGGTGTGGAGACAAAAAAAATATAAAGCGAGTTGAAATGAGTTTTAAATGCGAGGCAATGATAATCAGTGAGAATAACACGTCTATTGCTTTCTTTGAACGAAATAATTTGTAAAGATACTGAGTCGTGTTGGCCGCGTGAACAATATACTTACGCCCAACATTTTTAATTGGCTGTCGATAATTTCGATAAGAAAATTTTACCAAACGATGAGCTTTCGGCTCTTCTACAAAATGAAAGACAAAATAACACTCTCCCAACAGCGAAATCGAAGTCGTATAATTGTTGAAATGATACTCCACTGATCCTAGCATATATTGCAAAGATCGCAAAAGACGCGAGCGCGAGGAATTACAATTGTAAATGCAATTGACGTAAGGAAGTATGAAATGTATGTTAATTAGGTTTTATAATTCAACGAGAGTGTAATTTAGTGGGTTTTTTTTTTTTTTTTTTTTTTTTTTCCTTTCTATCGAGTAAGGATAAGTGCATGCCAACACGTGCGCGCAGGAAACCGAACCGAGGATCGGACGACTTTCCGCGTGTCACGCCAACACCGATCCGTACATCTCTCGCTCCGCAAACCCAAATACTCTTCTCGGGAAATCAGTTGATGAAACTTTTACCCCTCTTTTCCCAATACAAAAGTCACTTGGACCCAACCTTTATCCTTGTAGCCATGAACGGATACATCGTCTTGAGACTGGAAAATCGATCGAGCCCCATGACGCAATACTCCACACTTTGCTCTCTCGTTTGCGTCAATACATAACTTTTCAAGTACTCAGCGTAGTCGTCGATGTACCTGCAAAAGTGAGTGCCGTGTACCAAACCAATGGTAAAGAAATTACATTGTTTGTAAGAGTCTTGAAAATTCAAAATTCAAACCAAAATTCAACTAATTTTTAAACTCTACACGAGAGAAACCATAAAACAAATATTGACCAAAGTCTGTATACATACCGAGATACAGCGCGCTCAATCTCTCGAAATGTAGGTAATTTATTGGTCTTGTCCTGATGTCGCTCGAACGTAGATAAGAAAAAAATGATATCTCCTTGATGGTCTCGAAATTTCAAAGGAAAAAAAGGTCTTGCTCGAGGCCCGTTTGAAATCGCGACAATTCAATTGAAACAAAAGCGTCAAGAGCAGCTGGAAAATTAATCGGAAGGGGGAGGGGAGCTAATCCGACGGCAAGTAAACGACGCACAGAGTCCGTACAGGTGTATCCAATGTGCACCCGAAGAAACACGAGCTGGCAAGTAGGTATACGCAGCAACGCGAAATCCCATTGCACGGTTAGTGACACCCGGGGGGGTGCAAACGGTGCATCGACGCAAGCAGAGAAACACACACACACACACCTTATCTACCTGCCCAGCTGTGCAGTATAGTTCTCGAAGCAGTACGAATGCCGGCTCGGGACGAAGTACTTACCCTTCCTTACGCTTCCTACACCACCCCTTCGGCATACGTGTACCACTGCATGCTCTTTTAATCCATAAGGTGCTGTAGGGTGGAACACGGATAAGCACCTATAGCGGAGGAAGAAGCACGAGGGGCTCAGCTTATATATATGTTTAAACTTTGCTTATACTTTTTAGCTACGAAATAGTATATTTTCATCTCCGGCAATAGCGGGAGGCATGTGGGTATACAGGAGTTATAGCGACGAGCACACATTTGTGCGCAATAAACTGAAGATTATACACATTTTCCTCGATCAAAAGTATGTAGCAGTGGGTACTTCATAGTACTCACATAATAACGATTGTGCATGTGTATATATACATATACTATCTCTCTCGCATTCATTCATAAAAACGTGGATTTTAAAGCAAAAGCGTACCATGCACGCACGCGTGCAGCTCGGAGATGGATTTACGACGGAAATAAACACCATTATCTCATCTCTTTCGCAATCGATCAACCATCAGCACCCGAGAGACGCGAGAAACACTGTAACATACGTGTACGCACGCACCGTAATTTATTGATACATCTCCCCTTGCTCTTATCAAGCGCTGTAGTTACCATACGGCGATACGAAAAATAGCGCAGCCGCGAAGCGTCGATCGGATTTTTTTTTTTTTTGTCTTTTAAATTGTTTGTTTCCTCCTCGATTTCACGGAGTGTGAGGAATTGCAATAACAGTACACTTTTGGTTTTTGTCGGCTTGAAAAGAAAAAAACGAAACGAGAGATGCGCAAGGGATTCGGGTTATTGTGGTTTTCACGGTGATGTTGGGTACGTTGTTTTTTTTTTTTTTTTCTCTCTTTCATTTGTGGTTGTTTACGGTGAATTTTTTTTTTACTGCATGTACATACTGAATAACTGTTTCAAGAAGCCACTATGGCTCTTACCGTACGCTTTCAGTGAACCGATAGCGATGAGTAAACATGTTCTTTATTGGTATCTATACACGAAGAAAGAAAAAAAAAAATTTCATTGGAGCAAAAGTTCCAAGCCCTATTACTTATCATCAGACTATTTCTATTCTGCTAAAAGCAACAGCAGCACTCAACTCCCATATCGAAACTTGAGGAAAAAAAAGTACAATCACCAATTTGTTGGCAAAAAAGCTAGATATCATAGTTTTTTTTTTTTTTTTTTTTTTTTTTTTTTTATTCAATTTGGCATAGAAAAAAGTTATAATGAAATAGATAAATAATATTCCTTGAAATTTTATCTTTTTCCCAAATTAAAAAATAATCCAACAAAGTATTATACAAGATAGTGCTTACTTCCTATCATTTTTTTTTTTTTTTTTTTCATTTAAGATAGCACTTTTTTACCAGAAAAATTAATACAGCGACTTATTTCTTCGATGTGTCGGTACACATGAATAATCCAATAGGTACCGTGAGCAAGAATTACTTTTATTAATTTTTCTTTGTTTTTAGCGTGACTATACGCGGTCGCTTATCGTCTTGCGAGTGATTAGGCAAGGAAATACGTAATATGCACACACATTTGCACGCGCGCGCACATACACACGCATACACAGATTTAGGTTTTTATAATCGAAGCAGTTTGTCTTCCAAAAATCAATTGTGGAGTTCCAAATAAAGTTGGTGATAAGGATGCACGAAGACCACAAAAATGGGAAAAGTAGTATCAATTATATCGATGGACGATAGCTTTAGGAAAGATTCGAATGGTCTTCTTGTGTTCTTCCAATAACTCAATAACCCTTACTGCGTTTTTTTTTCAGATATACTTTTGTGAAAGATTTAACTTCATTTTTCATATCTTTTAAACCGATCGCCCACGCGAGAAGGTAAAAAAGGAGCAGTCGTTTTACGACTCTCCTGATCTTCTGCCGAAAGAACGAAAATACGGAATCGAGCGGGCAAGAAAGCGAAAGAAGCGTGGACGGCTGAACCTGGCTGTTGGGAATTGATGGTTTCGAGCTTTAAGAAAAAAAAAAAAAAAAAAAAAAAAAATGGGGGCACAGCAGACAAAGCCCGGCAGAAAAAAAATCGAAAGTGCCAACGTTAAATATCTTTGACCTCCTTTAGGGTTGCAGGTACACACGGTTATCGGTCACTAAGTATATATATGCAGAGTTGAAGCTGATTTTCAATGCATTTTTCATTTTTTTCTCCCCATCGTTCCTCTATTCACTATGTCTATTTACATTACGAAATGTGGTCCTACGTAATCCACAATGTAGGCGATTATACCTATATTATGTACATAAACGTATTTATTGGAATTCATCATTTGTCATCATTTTTAATACGTTTTTAATTTCTAAACAATATAATGAAAAAAAATCAAAATTATATACGTTTAAATAAATAATAAACACAACAAGATAAATCAAAAAAATTTTTTTAAATGAAACTCAAATAGTTCTTAAACAATATTGTGGTCTAATGGCGTGATAATACTATGATGATAATAACGATAATGCTGTAGTTTATCGTCACCTATCGGAGCAGAATTAGTCAAGCAGCATTTTTTTTCTTTTCTTTTTTTTTATAATCATACCTCTGCTGACAGCTTTGATGTTTGGAGTTTGAAAACCAAAGTTGGCAACCAAAGCGGGAAATTCTCAGGTGATGGTTTATCAAAGCCGCATTTATTGTAAAAGCGATACAAAACATTGCGTTGCGTCAATGTAACCGCTCGAGCGAATTATTGGGCCCTTCCTTTGTCCCACACAACCATATGCCCACCGCTTCCACCAAAAAATCGGCGAAATGTTTTTTAACCGACAGCTCAACGTTTCTTACTTTGATTTCAGGATGTCCAAGTCAGGGAGCATAAAGAGCATAAAGAGCAGCCCAGGAGAGGACGGCGAGGCGAAAGGCAACTACGACCCGGTGGGCGCCGGCAACGATGAGATCAAACTCGAGGCGAAAATGTCCCTGCTCAACGGAGTGACGGTCATCGTCGGCTCGATCATCGGCTCCGGCATCTTCGTCAGCCCATCGGGCGTCCTCAAGTTCACAGGCAGCGCCAACTCGAGCCTCCTCGTCTGGACGATATCCGGCATTTTTTCCATGGTAGGCATATTCAACAATAAATTCACTCGGAATTTTGCTCTCCGATCATTATTTGTACTTATATACACCGACAGGTCGGGGCGTACTGTTACGCGGAGCTCGGCTGCATGATACGAAAGTCCGGGGCGGACTACGCGTACATCATGGAGACCTTTGGCCCGTTCATGGCCTTCATCAGGTTGTGGATCGAGTGCATGATCGTGAGGCCGTGCAGCCAGGCCATCGTCGCCCTCACTTTCAGCGTTTACGTGCTCAAGCCCGTCTTCCCGGAGTGCGAGCCGCCCCAGGACGCGGCCCGACTCCTGGCCGTTTGCTGCATATGTGAGGCTCTTTTTGTTTCTTGCCCGCGTGCGTTTGCTGGAACGAGTGCGAGATCGCCCCCCCCCTCCCCCTCCTTTCATTGTGATACGGTCTCGTTTGCAATGAGCTCTGATTGCCAAAGTGGAGTTTGTTGCTATATGTACCTATACTTCATTTCGGAATTCGGGTTAATGGCTCTTTACAATTTTAACCCCCCCCCCCTCTGTGATCGCCCGAGATATAATACATATATTTTCTAGTTCTGGAAACTTTCTTTCTTCGGCACTCTACTGATAGCTATTGTTGTATACGCATAGCTTTTACTGCAATTTAAAAGCCGGCTTATTTCCTCGAGGTCAATATAATATTTATAGTGTGGCAACAAGTTGCCTTTTGTACTTGAAAAACGTAAGAGAGACGATACGACATCCTTTAGCAGTACGATGGTTTTAATTTTCTTTTTCTTTTTTTTTTTTTAACTATGATATAGCAAGCTCTTGTTTAAGAGTCAAGAGATATTGATTTGTGAACAAACCTATTTTTTTTCTTACCCCCCCCCTAGTTTTTTTTTATACATCTTTAGATCGGGTAAAAAATTACTTCGATATTAATTTTTTTTTTTTTTTACCATTCCATGAAAATGAAATATCAACATTGCCAAGAACAGTTCTTGACCGAAAAAGCCGATACAGTAAATTGAATGAAATTCGATATATCAATGTGCCGTTTGATGTATCGAACAAAATTTTTGCGCGAACAATACTTGGACAAAAGGGTATAGGTGCACGTAACCACACAATATTTGTCCAACGGTCGATGTTTATATTACCCAATTTTACTTAGTAAGACATCAAAATTAGTTTAGCGTGAGTCAATAACTCGTTCGAAAAATTTTCGTAAGACGGAGAATACGTGAGTTTTTCCCTCGTTTGTGGAGACAGCTTATAAGTGACCACTTAAAAAAAGATAACGAAATTTTCCATAAACTGAAAAAGAAAGTCTTAAATGTCTTTATTTTTTTAATTTTAGACACAAAACGTAGCCCAAAGAAGATAAAAATTTGAATTACCTTGGGCAATGCGTTTGATGATTCGCATCTTTATTGAAATACACGTAATTGGACTATTATCACATGAGCCGTTGATATAGTAAAGTTAATAAAAACCGCGCATTAAGACACCAGAACAAAACGATACAGGCTCGTCATATTCTCGATTTACCTAATCGATCGGACAATAAAAATAACCATCATGCAGAAACACATCTGGCAATTAAAGAGATACGTAATTTTTTTTTTTTTTTTTTAATTTACCAAATTACATTGGTGAGACCTCTGTATATACGCTTGCTATAACATGTATCATCCATGACCGAGTTGAGCCTCGCTTAATCCTTTTTTTTTTTTCACTATTCAGTGGTTTTGCTTGGCTTAGATCATTCAAGCTCTGCTGCAAGAAAAACATCGATAAATGTCAATGTTCCTCGTGCAGGTATTAACTATTACGTTACGTGCCATGGTGAATCATTCGGCAATGCAAACGTAAGGAAGACCTTTTTACGTTTCATCCTTCGTTCCTTCCCAATAGCTATGGGGTTCGAGGTGTTTCCTAGAAAGGAATTAAAAAAAATGTCCAGTGTCTATTCACCTACGTAAAATCAAAAGAGAAAAAAATCTTTGCTACGCAAAGCATCCGATAATTCCTTAAACGCCAATGTGTCCGTAGCTTCACGAAAATGTCGAGGGGCTTCGCTCATATAGGAATACCTAACGAAGCAAGAGCAGCTATATGTATATTAAACATATATATATATATATATATATATATATTAGCATTCTTCACTTTTACAACTCCCTCGCACGTGCAACCGTGATCGTCCACACTCGAGCGCGCATACGTGCACTCGTATCACCCAATGAGTCTATCCCCTTTTAGGAAGTGCCCAACTGACGCAACTTGGCGACGAAATTTCAAATACCCGGCATTATGTTAAATAAATTCTAATACGTATTTCGATTGTTCTCGCGCGTACGCGACTACATTGTATATAATATCCGCATCCTCAGCAAAGTGTCGGAGAGAGGAAGGGATCACGTGCCGAGGCTGCTGTGTCTGCCGGGGGCTTTCTTCATCGAATTAGGTGTAATATGGCCGATTATATCATCCGTGGGGCCGCTGAATTGCCTCGTGCCTTTGACCAGCTGATGTACATTATATTATTATGGTGTATACTCTTATTGAGTATATATGGAGTGACCTTTTGTGCCTCGGTACAATCGCGGTTTATTTTCAATAAGATGAGAAATGGATACAATGTTCTTTTGAGTCACCCCTACCATATAAATATGCACTTACTTGTCCCGCTGTTGTCGTTTTGTTGTATCGATGCGCTCTTTTGAAAACCACAAAGGCTCACGGTATTTCCGTGCTGGTGCAGTCGAAGCTAAAGAATCACCGTAGTAGTACACTTTTATCTATTTATCTTTATCTTCCATGTATAGAAGGGGCAACGACATGCACGAATTAGATATGAAAAGCATGACATTCGTGCTTTTTATTTCGGCCATGTTTACACGTATAATAGGTGTACGTACGCTACAAAATGAGCGTGACCGACATGTATAACACGATACATAATAGTTCAAAGAGCTAGAAATAATTTGATGGTAATTTAGAAGCGCGTGGTCCTGCAAGATATTATTCTATACGACTGCGCTCGAGAGAGGAAAAAGAAAAAAATATGCTCCACTCCTTTCAAAATTTTATTTGTCCGTCCTCGTTGGTTTACTCCGTGGATAGTTTGCCAAGTTATTATACTCAGTCCCACGATGATGAATAGTTGGATCAAATTTCCATCAATAAATGCTCCTTCGTTGTATCGTATAAACGGACCCACACAATACGCGTCAAGATGATGATGGATAATTGAACGTTTCAATTAGAAAGTGAGAGCCACCAATGTGGCGATGCAACTCGAGGAAGATAATGGGGGGGGAGGAAAAAAATATCCTCGCGCTTTTTGCGATCGATTGGCGTATAGTCAAGGCCGACGAGTCGTAACTCAGCCTACTTTATCGTGATTTTGAAATTCGACTAGTCGGACGACTCGAAAACGAAACACCCCCATGCGGTACTTGGTTAATTTTCCGGTATTTTATTAACCCGCTTTTTGACTTAAAATCCTAAAAATCTCTTCTCACCTCCATCCGAATGCGTGAAATGACAAGGGACACGTATTATAATGTAATGTAAATATCGCGTGCTCCCAATATACGAGCCGGTCCCAAAGCATCACCAGCAGAGCCATTCTTCTATTCAACAAAGGCCCCGCGGATGCTCTTTGTATGAAAAATGGTCCGAGCCACCTCTCACCCGCGTGGAAAAAAGACGCATCCACCCATATATTATCACACCGCGTATGTACTATGTACGAGGAGCTCTCGATCTTTCAATTGCCGGAAGTCAAGGTCAGTCAATAAGGCGCGTGTATGAATGAAAACCAAAAGTATATACACGACACCCTCTTCCTCTATTCCCGTACAGCCATTTGGTGCCATTGTTGCGGGGTATAATAAGTTGGGCGCAGCGGTGGATTACTCCCCCCCCCCTTCTTGGGTGCGATATGATTCAACTCCCTTTACATAGTCCAGTTATAGCCGAAAAAGCTCGTGTAAAATGTAAATTTGTTTCTTAAATATTTCAGGCATCCTGGCGTTCGTGAACTGCTGGGACGTAAAGTGGGCGACTCGGGTGCAGGACGTGTTCACGTACGCCAAGCTCCTAGCCCTGTTCATCATCATCGGGGCCGGTGCCTACCAGCTCGCACAGAGTACGTATATACAATGTAATTTTAATTATATTTTCCCAATTCACAGTCATGGTCGATCTATCATTGTACGAAAGCTTCGCGCGTTGAATGGTGCAAAGAACGAGCTTACCGCCGGAGCGACGGGTTACTGCTCTAGTTTCTTGGGAGAGCGGAGCCGGACGAGACAATTTGTTCAATCGGAAAGGTGGCCAAACGTACATATACTTACGTATAGCGTTATACGAGTGGGCGCCCGAGCGTGCGAATTCAATACGACGTGTGTGTATACACGAGCAGGGCCCTTCAATTGCTCCTCCGCGTGGGCCGTCGACGTATACTCGTTAGCTCTGCTCTTTCGGCCCCTTCTTGACCCTTCGATTTTTTTGTTTTCCCCCTTACGCTTCCACTTCAAGTAATGGTATGTTCCCCGATGCTCGAGTGTATCATAAGCCTTTCGATCCCTTCGATTTTTTTTTTTTTTTTTCCTCTTTTCCCCTTGCGCTTCTACTTGAAGAAATAGTATTAGCCTTTTGGTTTTGTTTGAAGACCAGACGCAGCACTTCAACTTCGAGAATTCCGAAACGAGCGTCTCGCAAATAGCGCTGAGTTTCTACTCGGGCCTGTTTGCCTACAACGGCTGGAATTATCTTAACTTCATAATAGAGGAGCTGAAGGACCCCGTGAGGTAATTTTCATGATTTTTTCATACTTCTTCCGATGCGATTGAATGGGGGGAAAAAAAATGTCTTATTTTCAGAAACCTGCCGAGAGCCATCGGAATTTCTTGCGCCCTGGTCACGGTGGTCTACGTCCTGACCAACGTGGCTTTCTTCACGACCCTCAGTCCGCAAGAAATTTTGGACAGCGAGGCCGTCGCCGTGGTGAGTTTCTCATAAATATTCACCGGCCGGAATTTTCCCGTCACCGCGAGAGAAATAATCACAACCGCTTGGCCGTCAATTTCATTGTTCTCTCTACCGCCAATTATCTCGCCATTCAAGCCGTTGGGTCTAATATGAATTTTTAATCACCCAAGAGACATTCTCTTGCGAAACCTATACGCTTCTCCGTGTCTATAGTGTACACCTAATTACACTCTACGTACGCTCGATTGCCTATACGGCACTTTGACAAAAGTACAAGTATTGGTCGTGTGTGGGTGTAAGGTACCTCCTTTTAGAGTTCCATGGTAACGTAATTTTTGTTGCAGACCTTCGCCAATAGGCTGTTCGGGCCCATGGCTTGGACGATACCGGTGTTCGTAGCCCTGTCGACTTTCGGCGCGGTCAACGGCATCCTCCTCACGTCGTCGCGCCTCTTCTACGCCGGGGCCTGCGAGGGACAGATGCCAGAGATCTTGACGATGATACAGACCTCGAGAATGACACCCACACCTGCTGTGATTTGCATGGTAATTTTTACGCACCATACTTTGCTATCATTGTTATTACCATCGCATACCTACTATACGGCCACCTCTCCCCGGTGCCTCTTACTATACGTGCAAAATTGACGTAGTCTGTAAAAATTAAAATGAGCGAGCGCATGTACTTATTTTCTCTTTTGTTCGAGGACAGTCGACGTTGTCGACGTAAAAAAAAAACATCCCACGTTTTCCTAATCCAATGCCTATATATTAGTACCTGCACATTATGGGGAAAATAGTTTTCGTTTTCTGTGGGAGACAGCAACGATAACATTTTTATAAATCTTCGATTTTCAGGCTCTCCTGTCCATGATTTATCTGTATTCTTCCAACATTGTGCTTCTCATAAACTACGTTGGATTCGCAACATGGGTAAGCCGATCAAACGTGCAAACGGTCCCCCAACTCGACACATGTACATATATTGATTAATTAATTATTTTTACAAATCAGTTGAGCATCGGTGTGTCGGTGTTGTGCGTACCTTGGCTGAGGTGGGCCCAGCCGAATCTTCCGAGACCCATCAAGGTGAACCTCATCTTCCCATTCGTCTACATCCTCGCCACGCTCTTTGTCACCGTCGGCCCCATGATAGCCGATCCCGTCGCAACTGGTGATTATTTACATTTTTTTTTTTCTCTCTCTCTACACTTTTCCACGCGAAATTTCTCAATGGTAACCCCGTCTCTATGATTGTCCTAGGATACGGATGCCTCATGATTTTCTCTTCTGTACCTGTCTACGTTGCCTTCATCGCCTGGAAGAACAAGCCGAAAATCTTCCAGAAAGCCGTCGGTAAGTCAATGCTTTGACACGCGTCTCGAGTACACTCTTCACGGGAGTTACATGATTAAAACGAGATGCGAAGCAAAACTATACATCAGCACCTTGAGTTATTTATATATCCTGTTTTTTTTTTTTTTTTGTTTGTTTTGTTTTAAATCCATTTATTCCTACAGGCGACATTACCAAACTATTGCAGAAGATGATGGTGGTTGTCGGACCGAACAAGACACAGGTTCAAAAAAACACGCTATACATATACTACTCTAACCATATCAAGCATGTTATTCTTTGTACTTTGATTCGCGGTAGAAAGTATCTGTTGATTAGTTTTTAGTTATATCATGTCGATACATCTAAATTTGAATCGACACTCGTTCGCATGTTTTTCATGATAATACCATACAAGTATAAAGTATCACCTAAGTCGATTCATTACTTTGTTTGTCTGAAAACATTTGTACTTTGTTTTTGCATGACACATTTAACAGAAGCATTTAACACTATACTTACACATAGGAGATTAAAAATTTCGGCTGTGAAAAAAAAAATTTTTTTTATTTCAATTGTATATATTTTGAAGAAATGATATGTTGAAAAATATTCAACTGGTGAAGTAAAGGGTTTTGTCGAGTATTTTTAGTTATTTTAACATCATGTGGCACAATTTGACAACGTTACTTTTGTTCTATTGCAGTAAATTTCACCAAGTTTCTCCAAAAAATTATCTTGGTGGTGGGCAAGCCGAAGCCTGCAACAGTTTAAGAAAAAGGATCTGAAAGATGAATCAACGTTTTTGCTATCGATGTGTTGTTGAGATTCGATAGCGTTGCAACAAGTGGAAACTACAAATCTATATTACAAAATGGAGAACATAATATATGCGACCGGATGTCCGACATCAATTGTCAGCCACTGATTGAAGGAGGACAACCTACAGGTCAAATTTTAAGAATCAATAAATACGACATAAGCATAATTATCATATCACGAATTCCATATTTTTAAGTCACTTTTGACGACTCTGTTCGAAATGTTCGAAAAAAAGGTTGTCAATGCAATAGCTGAAGAATAGCATCGAGATCGTGTATTTTCAAGCTGTGATCAACCTTGTTATTAGTATCGGAGAGTAAATAATTTTTTTAATTGTTGTCTCTTTGACTTTCCGATCGTAGAAATGATTTTAACAAGAGAATGGACGATTTCGATGAATATTTTTTAAAAGTTTTGATTATTCATGATAATCTTACTGTAAAGTGTCAGGCAATATCGTTCACGTTTCAAATGATGAATAATCAAATCACGAGATTGCCAATGAATATTTTTATTTCTTAATTTTTTACGGTAACAAAATTGTATTTTTTTTATTTATTATATAATCAACCAATGAATTGAAGATACTATTTTTTTTAAAGTAACTTTAAATTTTTAGTAAATATTATTTAGGCAAGATTTTTAGCTATGATCATAATATCAAATGTATTTACTACGTATGTATAATCATGTCGAAAAAAAAGACCAAAAGATTATCGTACAACTTTAGTGCATTTTGCCTAAGGTTTAGATTTTGCTTTTTTTACAAGGTAGAAACTGAGATAATTAGTTCATTTGTAACTAGGTTTAATCATATATTTGAATACTGCCACTTTAAGAAACTGTACAATAAAGCGTTTCTGTTGCAAGATGTGAAAACAAAGTGCATTGTATGTTATAACAATATACGGCTTACACGTGCTTGCAATGCGAAATCGTCACATAATTTATCATCTTTGATCATCGTTACGCTATGTAACTTGTATACTAATTTAGAATCGAAACGTTCCAGATAATGTTAAGCGATATACATATATTTGTATATATAGATTTATATCGAAAATTTTGCAGCTAAGATGGTTCCCCTTAAAATGTTTGTTATATATTTTACTGTAGTTGATTACACTACAAATCGATGGCATCTCTTTTTTTTACATCATAAATAGTAAATGAGTTCTATAATGTGATCATTAATTTCATTTTTTTACTCGATTGCTTTTTAAAAATTTTCATGTGAAGCGTCAATTCACCATAGTTTTTTTTTACAATTAACAATAAATAAAAAAATATTGTGTACCAACAAATTGTTCATGTTAGTGCAATAGTGACTGAGCAAATAGTGACTCACGAAACAATCTTCATCATATCACAAAGCGTGTTTTTTATAAGCCTATAAGACTTCTGTAATTTTTTTTACAAAAGTAATGAACATACGTGCTTTATACCATAAAAATTTTAATTTTCGATTGCCATATCTCTAAATAGTAATTTAGATCTATAAGGAATATTTATCATTGATTAAAGAGGTTTGTGACTTTATTGGTTTTATTGTTAGCTGCAAATTAAATGAAAAATCATCTATTTTTTTTATCGAATGAATTAGTGGAAAAAAAAAGATATTTTTCTGAAATACATCTTACGAGTGTTTGTGCAAAAAAACCTTTGATTAAACATAGTTGTACACAACTAATGAACATTACATATTTTATTCAATATTTTTTTACGCTCAAGAAACAATAGACTGCAATTAAGTTGTTATTACAGTATTTATAAAGTTCATAGAAATCATCGAGGCAATAGTGGATAAAAATGGTCATGAAAAAAATTGCAAGATCTGATCGTCTGTTTGACCTTAAAAAATTAATAATTGTAATTATAGTATTATCATTCGTAAAACATACCATCAATGAAACTCAAAGACAATAATTCTTTGACTGATTGTTAGAATGCTAAAATATATCTCACAATATTTTCTATTGTAGTTATTTCAAATGTATGAAATTACAATTTTTGGTTAAATTTTTTAATAAAAATACGTATTTAAGGAATTCTTGATCAATATTTATTACAACTACGATTTGAATTATAGTTTAACACCTACTTATTACTAGAAGTAATCGAAAAAATTTTATATAATAAATGATTAAAAGTTCCAATTACAGCAGTAACACACGGATTTTTAGTGCTGTTTTAATTTGAAAAAATACACTAAAAATTGATTTTTCGGGGGTTAGGTAGCATTTCCTAAAAATTTCCTGAAATTTTTCCGGAAATTTTTCTAGGTTAACCCCTTGCCTTACGTATTTGGCAAAAGTGATGTTAAGAAAAAGGGAAAAAAGTAAAAAGTATCAAGAATAAAAAGGCTACCTGAAATAAAAAGCATGAATTTTGGTACAGATGTGTACATGAAACGTAAATATGAAGCCCGATTAAAACCTTATTTTTAACCACGACGTCAAAAATCTATCGTAAAATGATTTTCGTACAAAGTAGCATGAATATATTTTGGATCAACTGTACACTGAGCGTATCGGAATTGTAATAAAATTTATGTAATAACTGTATACAAGGAAAAAAAATGTTTGCTGATAATACATTTGTGACAAAAAATGTAATTAAGAACAAAATTTAATTTTCGAGCGCACGTTGCTTCTCTGCTATACTCAATAAAGACAACGATTTTGCAGTAGCTAAGGATCTATTTACGCTTTGACAAATTGGACGAATTAACTAATTGAAAATGCGTATATACATGTTAATCCAGAGTAATTATTTTTCTCCTACTAGTTGTAAATTTTCAACTCTTTGTCCATAAATGTACTAAAAGAAATCACATAAAAAATATCGTCCAATGTTAAATACAAAAAAGTATTGCAACAACAAACAACAAACATGTTCAGAGATCGAAAATATAGTTAAAAAATAACAATGTGTGAAATAATTCAACCTTGTTTCGAATGTTACATGTGTATGTGTTTATATTTTCATGTATAAATATATACAAGCTATAAATATATGCTATATATGATACATCTATTTTTATTTTCCTTTTTGTTAAGTAATCGATCAAACAAATGCATAAATGAAAATAACATTTTTTTGTTTTAAAGAGTTCGTTCAAATATACCATAAACAATAGGTTTAAAGCAATTTATTTTCATAATCACTCAATAAAATAGAAATGTATTACCAATCATCAAATTAAGTTATCGTTTGTAATTTTTAATTGTTTATACTATATTGATTTTTCTTTGTATGATGCAAATTTCAGCGTACATTATATATTATATATATATAAAATTATACATGTATAATTATAAGACATGTATAAAGTTAGGGAATTATTTTGCTAAATCAGGAACGAAATAATTTTTTGCTGTACATTTTGTTATTTTTCAAATTCACTTTATTCATTTATCAAGCATGTTCTTATTAAAATCGCACATCGTCAGTTATAATACTATTTGCGCTACGTTAGCACTCCTCTCTGTTTCCCTCAACTTTTTTCTCTATGACATTATCACTATCTTAGTGTCAAGTGAATATAAACACCCGCAAAATTTGACTATTTTGAAAAATTATCCGCACACTCTAAAGTAGTCATACGTAATTGGTATTAGCACATAAACAAACACCAAAGTGGAATGGTACAGATTCAGCTTCTCGTATAATTCTCTTTATCACCAAAAATCTCTCAATACTTCTAAAATAACATTTTGACTTTTAGTGACGAAGCTTGGAACTTCAAGTGACTTTAATAAATAATCTCTTGCTGTAAAAAAGACAGTATCAAATTTTTTTGACAAGACTGTAAGCACAAATAATTTAAAAAATGTTATTGATAAAGTACTTGAACGTGCCATCGAATAAACTAAGATTTTTAGGAATTTTACTTTTTACGTAAATTATTTCATTTGCCATCAAGTTTTCCTCGGTCGCACACAATAATTTTAGTACATTATAAATATTACACATATTATGCAGCTGTTGAGGAAATGCTTAAGCAGTAGATACATACGCAACATTCTTCACTGAACTACATAAAAATATTTTTTGTAATTGTCAAAGTTATAAAAAATAATTTATCTCGATAAAAAAAAAAATCCAATCAATTAATCTTTCGTACATATATTTTCAGTATAGGATGTAAAATATATGTTACTCAATAAAATTGCTCCTGTAAGCTTTATTGTTTGAATTGACAGAATTGCTCGAGTCAAGAAAAGTGGCTCAAAGGAAAGCATAGTTTAGTTGAAGTCACTTTGAGCGAAAGCATTTGAGCTTGTGAAAGTAAATTTCTTATTATAATCAGACTTTGAGGTCGGAAAAAAATAAAACAAAGTGAAACGTACTAAAACGGATTACATCGTGTCGTATATCGTACGGAAAAATATTTTTATACATTATATTTTTACGCAGTGACAAATTACACACCTGCTGATCCATATGAATAATCGGATAATACAACAGCTCTACTCGCTTACGCGGATTTACTATAATGAGATTCAATACGTTGCAACTTGTGCAGTGAGTTTCTGTTACTTTGCATTTACCCTCCACTTTTCACTTTCTCTCTTAAGCGCCCAATACATCCTTATCTACTCTTCACATAGCATTGTTTTTTTTTTTTTTTTTGTTTTTTTTTGGAAGAACAGGCTTTGTATACATACATCACTTTTATCTTACCAACTTGAATAGAATTTTTATTCTTGCATTACTATTTTTCGTCTCCGTGACTTTTTTTTCTTATTTTATGCTTCATCTTTAAGGGGACATTCTGGGATTGTCACAGCTCTATTTATTTGCTGGTAAAAGTTACAAGTTCAAAGAAGTACAATGACCATAAAGTTTGAACTTATTGTATGCTGTCTTGTCTTTGTAATCCAAGTCTCATAGTAGTTTAAATTATTAATTGATGAAAGTATTTGAAAAAGTGCTAAAAAAATTAGATGTTTGATTCACTACATTTTTACGACAATGATTCACAGGCAGTGAAATAATTAATTAATATCAAAAAAATTATCAGTTAAATCATTGTAAAAGTGATAATACGCCTTTTAAAAAATTTTCTTAAAATGTAAAAACTTTTTTATTCAATAGTGTATTTGTGTAGTTTTAATTCATGTAAAACATTTAAAAAGTAAAAAAGTTTGTAAAAATTACGTAATACGTTTCATTGTGAATTTTAAATGGTATGCGTTTATGTGCAACAAAAAAGTGCTAATAAATCTCCTTACGTTTTTTTATTTCTTTCATTAGAATTTATAAGACGCAGGTTACGGGAAAAAAATGAGCAAACATAATATCTGCATACAAGGCGCACGAATCTACAAGATTTAAGATAAAATAAGAAGAGAACGAGGATACGCTTTGCATTTGAATTTTTTTTTAATTTAATGCTTGTTTTTTTTTTTTTCGTCAATTTCTCGTAACCATACTCGTTAATACATGTACATGTAATGTATGGTAAACTATAAATTAAGCCAGCATCAAGTGCCGAAACAAGAAATTTTCACTGTCAAGAATTATTTTACTTTTTTTTTTTTTTGATACATAAATTTACACTTTTAGATAATTGCAAAGATTCTTTGTTTCGGACGGGTGTACGATACTTGTCTGTGTATGTGTGTGTCTCAGCAGTTTATTTATAAATCTCGAGTATACATTTAGAAAAAGTTCCGACGCGTTTATGTGTGCGCTAAAGTTCTTATTTGACAATTTTCGGGGTATATCAATGATTCCCTGTTCTACGTGCACCAGTAATTTTTACTGGCACGTCGAGATAACTAGTCGTACATTCAGTCAAGTCACCAGAATGTTATTCGCCACGTGTCGACTGAATACTGCGTGCAAAGCCAATTTGAGCTGAGCACGGCGTCCCGAGAAACGTCTCAATGGACCGAACGATTCAAACGTACCTATTACTGTTTTGTTGCGAGTCTTTTCCTTTTCGGCCTAGTTTGGGCTCTATTTCCCAATTGAAGCTATACACATGTATACCACAATTTAGTGCTGACTTTGCACCATCAATTGATTGAATTAGGAAAAAAAAAAAAAAAAAAAAAAAACAGAAAAAAAACGGTTGTTGTTCTGCGGATAGATACAACCTCGTTAAACAGCGGTAAAATAGCGATAAAAATACGTACATAAAATAATCTCATTATTTTTTGTTCTTAGCTTAAAGTTTATGTATATATATATGAACAGTTGTTAATTCCGCACAGAAAAATTTTACAAAATTATACGTGCACGATATACTATATGTTCTATACATCGCATGTGTGTATATATACCTATACGTATAAAATGGAAAAGTTTTAAACGATATATATTTATACATATACATGTAATTCATAAAGAACAGCCGTAACAGCTTTACTTCCACTTTTTTTCTTTTCCACATAAGGTAAACGTTATTGACCTTAAAAATTACCCTTCCACTATCCGACAATTGTCGTTTTTTCCTCTTTCGCTGCCACGCGCACGACATATCATTTGATACAGGAGTATGGTATCAACACAAACGGAACAAAATCAGCGCAACCCCGGGACTTTTCACAAAAGTCCTGTACGCCGAATGTAGGTAAACGTACGCCACCGAGTCGATCGATTTTTGAAATTGAAATCCCGACGACTCAACAATTCCTAGAGCGCGATGATCCTTACCCTATCTAAGCGTATGCGAACAAAGATCTTACATGATCTTGTGTATACGTAACTCGCGCCGTAGGTATAATGTATTTTTACACTCTCCGCGCGCAATCGACGATACGCCTCTCCGAAACAGCCAGCGCATGCGACCACTTTTGTGGTTCTCTCGGTTGATTGAAAAAAAAAAAATATATAAATATGCCTGTCTGTTTTTCTCTAAATTAGAATGACGAGGATACGACGGGGGAGGGGGAAAAAGAAGAACCGAGCGACAGGAAGAACGTATAAGATGAGCGACGAGAGGGCAACCTTCTCGCGGACGTCGATCCGCGATCACTCGGGCCGTTGGGATGGCTCGCCTACTGGATCGGGGGTAGCGTCGAGGTGCTTTTTGTCCCAGGCTAGGCGTCGCAGACCACAGCAGTCGTCGCAGTCCTCGCGGCTGCACTCGCACGTCGTCGTGGTCGTGGTGACCTTGGTGGCGTGGCCGTTGCTGGGACTCATCGCGGATCAGCTGGCCGGCAGCTCGGTGCTTTGGTTTTGCGTCAACTCCCGCAGGTAGCACTCGGATATGGGGACCTGACGGGTCCGTGCGCTCTGCTTCTTCTGTCGGGAAACAACAAACCCTCGTCTTACTTTGTTACCGACATGTGCTTCGGTATTGTATTTTTACGAGCAACGATCGATGGTTTACTATTGGTCCCCCGCGCAAACGATGCCTCGAGTTAATTGAGATCTCACTCGAGATACGAGACAATATGATCTCGTGACAATGGCAGCTGACGTGATCTATTGTATAACGAGTACCTGTTCCCCCGCACGGTTGACTCGATAACGGCGCAATCAAATTTTTCCGATCGTATGAATATATAATACATCGAGGGACGAGACAAAGATCCATCGACTTTTTTTTTTTTTTTTTTTTTTTCGCGATATGGTACATGGCTCGTGGAGGTAGCGGGAGCTGAGCGCTTTTCATTAAAAAAAAAGAAAAAAAATCTCCGCTTGAACCTACTTACACACATACATACCTTTCTGCGGAAGAGGAAGCAGCCTCTGTTCTCATTGTTTGGCGGCGGGTAGTTTATCAGCAGATCCGGGGTGGGCGCGTTGTTCAGGCCGAGCACGTTCAACTCCTCGAAGCACTCGGTCTCTATCATCTGCCGAACAAAAGGTACGAAAATTGCAGCTACCGAGTTTGTTGCGTTCTCGACGAGTAGACCGCTTATTATTTTTATCACCGCTGTTCTTATCATCGTCGCTTTCCCCCTCTTTTCCTTCAACTACACGTATATTTTTCCAAAGTTTTCCTGATGCACGGTTATTTTCATGAAAGGAGGGAACTCCTTTAAAAACCCACTTTCATACTTTTTTTTATTTTTTTTTTTTTTTTTTATTGTCGGTAAACTTGTGAAAGATAGGGAGAAAAAAAAAAAGAGAGAGAGAGTTCATTGAAAAAGTTAATTAAATCCTGAATATATTGTTCTCTCTTTTCTTTTTCTTCCCCCTCCAAGTACACACGTACACATATAGGCATTGCCGCGTTAAACTCACTTCGTTCTGCCAAGGTATGGACACGCTGCCCGTGTTGAATTTGCTGTAGAACGTGTCGTCCGTGGCGTCCAAATTGACCCCCTTGACCGTGGAAAACTGCTCGATATCCAGAACATCTTTGGCGTACACGGCGTGAGGCTGTGCGACATAAAGAACATTTTTTTTTTTTTCAATTCATCGGCCGTACACATTGAGAAAAGAAAGAAAGAAAGAAAAAAAATATAAGAACGGGGGGTGGGTGGGCATTTTTGTCGCAAGGCTGATGGGGAAAAAGTTGGCGCACCAGCCGGATTGATTGAAAGAAAATACATTCACAGGCGTCCACGGGGCAAGGGAAAAGAACGAGGAGGGGGAGGGGGCGAAAATCGATAGCCAAGGGTGACAAAAACGAGCGCCCTCGAACAGGGAAAAGACATTAAGAGGAGCAAGGGGGTGGTGCCGAGCTTGAGGAAAAAAAAAAAAAAAAAAAAGAAAAGAAAAGAAAAGATGAGTAACGAGCGTATAGGCACGTATGTACTAACGTCCGGGATGAAGGGGGGCTCCCACATGCCCGCCTCGACGCGCTTCCAGTTGAGGCACTGGAAGAAGGGGTGTAGCTTGACCTCCTTGGCGCCGTGGCGGCCGCACTTGCAGCCAAGCCTGCTCTTGGGGCTCTTCTTGAGGAGCTGCTGGCACAGGGACTTGGCCTCCTCGGTGAACTTGTGCGAGTACTTCTCCTGGTCCTCCTTGACGCGCCGGTCCACCTCCTCCCGGCGCACCTTCTCCTTGCGCGCCCTGAACGGCGCCTGGCCCTCTATCATCTCGTACAACAGGCAACCGAAGCTGAACCAGTCCGGGGAGAAGGTGTACTTTTCGTTGTCGATCACCTCGGGGGCCATGTAACCAACTGTGCCGACTCGGCCGCGCACCATGTCCCCCTCGGTTATCTCCACCGCCAGTCCCAGGTCCGAGATCCTCACGTGGCCGTGGTCGTCCAGCAGTATGTTCTCCGGCTTGCAGTCCCGGTACACGATGCCCTGCTGGTGGAGGTGGTCCAGCCCGCACACGACCTCCGCCGCGTAGAACCTGCGAAACAAAGGTCCACAACCAAGCGCCGTGAAAACTTGTTTCATAAGGCAAACGGGCCATCGGCACATTCTACATTTCGGCAATTCAATCAATCCCACGGCTCTAATTGCTTAATCGAAAGACCGTACCTACGTATATATGTATATATATATATATGTTTGAGCTCGTTACACTTTCGGCCGGGCGCATTTAATTAGAGCGCGAGCAACTTTTCGCATATCGAAACTTTTGTCCGACAGCCCCGCGTACATAATGATAAGAAAATAATAATAATAATGATAACAACCTCGCCCTGTTGATGTCGAAGCCGGGATCACCGCCCATGTTGTATATGTGAAACTTGAGGTCACCCCCGTTCATGATGGTGAGCACGAGGCAAAGGGCGTCCTTGGTCTCGTACGCGTAAGCGAGCGACACGACGAATTTCGAGTTGATCTTTTGGAGGATGTTCTTCTCGATGAGCACCATGGCTTCGCCCCTGCGTTTTTTAATCCGCTTCTTCTCGAGCTTCTTGCACGCGTACATTTTCCCGGTGGCTCGCACTTGGCAGGCGCACACCTCGCCGAAGCCCCCCTTGCCCAGCACCCGGTACATGCGGAACGTCTTGTACGTTACCGGCTGCGCCTCCAGCCACTTCCACTGCAAATACCTACACGCGCGTGAGACCAAACGGAGTTTTACCATCATCGTGTTTATACATATTTATATATGTATAAGGGGCTTACCTGTAAAAGTAGTAGGAGGTGAGGAAGGAGGCGAAGGGCTCGCCGGCCAGAAAGTTCTTGACGGTCTGGGCGATTTCGGCAAAGATTTCCTTGCCGGCGGAGCCAAGGCGTTCCTCGCACTGCGAGATGAGGGCGTCGTTGAGTACGTTCGTGACCTCGGAGCCCTCGCGTTTCAGGTAACGCTCGAACAACACTTTCGACAATTCCGTGCGATTCTCGTCCATCTCCACCTCGTACTTCTCGATCGAGTCCAGAAACAAATTGTACCGGTGATACGACGACTTTTTGTCCTGGCAGTACTGCCGGAACAGTAGCCGGCCGATCGGCTGCTGGTCCACCACATAGCCGTACCTTATGTCTACACGCGAACCACACACATTACGTATTATACATTTTTATATTTATATACCTACACTTTTAATATACATACATATATACATGTGTGTGTTAAATGTCGTTGCAAACGAATTGGAGGGATCATCGGATGAAAAAGGAACCCGCGGTGTAACCCGAACTATGTGCGTAGACATAGTGTATATTATATGGTTTGGTTTCCCCCCCCCCCCCGATGCCATTAGAATTATTGCAAAATTTGCAATTCGATCTTTCGTTTGGGTATCGGGTGACGACCCCAAGAGGTGCCATATTGTAACGCGCGATCGCACGGGTTTCTTTATTGCCGTATCGTTAGATAAGTACGTTTGGTATAACAAACCACGGGTGGATTGGGTGAAATCGGGCGTTGCTAAAGGCGAGTCTGCGATTTTTCAAAATCCGTACGGAGGTTTGCGGGGCCGTGTCTGGTCCAGAGTGTCGGGTTGCACGGTGTATCGTATCGCGCTCTGCTGCAGCTGGCGTTGGTATTTTTTTTTTTTTTTTTTTTTTTTCCTCCGCTGCCCACAGCGACGCAATGTACTCTGCAGTTGACTTTGCAATATACAGTTCGCAATCGTAGCGGCTTGGTTGAACTGTGCTTCTTTGCGCAGCGCATATGATAATAATTTAGTCAATCGGGAGCAAAGCTTTATTGTCATCCATGTACCCTCTGCTTCATCGACATGTAGTTCCCTTTCCATTCCGAGGGGTGCACACTCGAGTTTGTCCGGATTGATTTTCATCAAGAGTCTCGTTAAAAATCCACGAAAAATTTCGCGCAGGTGGTGTACCTACGCGGGCGCGTGGGAAATGAAAAACTGAACTCAAGCACAGCGCGACAAGTTAAGAGTTCCTTTTCCGTTAAGTATCCGATGGACGAGCAGTTACTTTCATCCGAGATTCATGTAGATTTTCCATCGGATGCATCTTTGGCGATGCTCGTGCACGCTTCGTCGCCCAACTTTCTCATTACCGCGACGACGACGGCGAGAGATCGTCAAAGGGCAGCGGCAAAGGCGACGCAAAACCTTAACGAGAGCAATTTATTTTTTCCGCTCGAGCACTCCTCGGGTCAAATTGACGCAATTTGTGTACACGCCACCGGAGCGCAACCCACTCTCTCCGGTCATCGTTTTGATCTCCGAATCATGCGATTCGATTTGATGCGACAAGTGAGTGGACAAAAAAAGTCCTCGCAATCAACTTCGCTGGGACGAAAGAAAATGGCTCCACCTTCCGAATAAAATGGCCAAGTCCAATAGAGCAGATTGGCACTTTTTGCGAAGCAGATTTGTCCACATCGAGGCCATTGCGCACCGGCTCGGTTCCCAAACTATACGAATTCCGAAAGAGAGCGTCAATTAAACTGCACAGTGAGTGTATAATTACGTGTAAGAAGAGAAAGAAAAAGGGGCGCCTCGCGTTCCGAGCGAAAGTTTGGCGCGAGAAGAGATGCACAAACAACTGTATGATATAGTCCACTATATGGTTTACTTTACATACTTGAGCGCCAATTGGGGTCCAGCGGAAAAGGTGCATCACGAGTCAACTTGGGTGAATTTTGCTATACCTAGATCGTGCATCTCAATGAGATACGCGTTTGCTGTACACAAGACTACCAACTGTTTTCCGTCTAATGAGACGTCTAAAGTAGCACGTATACGTCGTCGCAGGTGTAGGTACATAATAACCCATTGTTTCCTCGCTCTTTCTTATTCCATCTTTCGCGTGAGTATGTACCCGCAGTTAACTAAATGTAGGATCATCGGGTAAATTGAGCCTAGATATGCTGTTAATCTACCGGTACAGTGACGGTAAATCTTTCTCTCTTCCACCAAATTACGATTCGATGGGAGGAAAAATTTCGCCATTGGGTGAAATTAACATGGGAATACAATACGGGTCGCGGACAATCGGGTCAGCTGTAAATCACCGGGTGTCCTCCGAGCGTGAATATACGCGTGCTTCATCTCTTAAATGCACAGGCCGTTGAAATATCGTTGACAATTCGATGCGACAGCTTGAGTATGGCCAAAGTGACGTTGCATTCAGTTTTTGCGTGTTTGAAACAGGAGCCATGTATATGCAATTTCATCGAAACTTATATTTTCGAGAGTTGCACTAGCTTTTACTCCCACAAAAAGCTCATCACGTGCAGATTTGACTATTTCAATTGCTCGTAAAGTTTTCTAGAAAAGGAAAAAAGTTACCTCGAGCTCAAAAGTTTTTTTACATTCAATTAAGAAGAACGTCTTTCACGTATGTTGTACGGAGTCCTTTCCAAGGACAAACAAACATGTGCGTATAGGTATGCAAGTCACCCCCAACAGGGAAAAGACACGCTCGTACACAAACAGCAAGTCGAGGGATTTCAAAGGAAGCGAGCCGAGACGGTAAGTCCAATAGGGGTCGTCCTGGCGAGTGTTCTTTTTAACCCCGGAACGAGTGAAAAAAATCGACGTCCCTTTGTCGCAGGAACGAATAACATCTCCGGCGACGCTCGGTAAGTAAAAAAAAAAAAAAAAAAAAAAAAAAAACTCGCGACTGTGATGGATTTTCGTAAATTTTGCGTCAACCGAACCGATTGCCTTCCATTATCCTTTCTCCCCATACGTACCGGCGTATAACACAAGTTGTTGGAACGACTTTTGAGGGAGGAAGCATCGCGCTTTTCCACTCGGAGCACGGCTGAAACGATACTCGATTCCTCTCCTCGCTACGATATATATATTGTCTACTTTCTCCGATGACCGGAAACTGTACCCCTCCAACACTCATCACAAGTAGTGCATTTTGGTCGATGCGCGTCTGATAAGCCGTGGTTCTCCGATGCCATGCACTCATGCGTTTTGTGAGTACGGCAAATTCGTCTGAAAACTTAGCCTATGTATAAATCACGGACCGAGTCCCGAAAGTGAAATTAAATTTCCAACGTGCGTACGTACACCTACCGTTGAACGAGTTGGTCGCAACTCCTGCAAGGGGACCGAGTTTGCGGGAATACTTAACGTTTGCCTGCGAGAACGGAGCCGTGAAAAGTTTTACTTGTATGTACGTTGGTGACTCTCTTTCCGGGAAAGTTTTCGCCGGGGCGCGGATAAACACGTGGGTGAAAATTACGCCGTGTCGTTACGAGAGAAGTTTCAGCTGCAGATTTAGGAGCTCGACAACTACTCGTAATCCCCTGGATACGGCTAGCTAAACGCTTGCCTCACTTGGAGGACGTTTCAATTATTTTTCCAATGCTCGCTTTTTTCGGCTCACGTGTCAAGATTTCAAATCACCTCCCACTGTAAAGTAAATTTTTTTTTTTTTTTTCCCCCAAGTGTTGTATATAGTTTTAAAAAAGTACTCAAAATACGAGTAACAAGCTCGCACCGTAACTCGATTCCAAGGTGGAGCGGCGCGCAGTTGCTAAATTGTATACGCGTTTACTCTTCAACTCGTGCAAGGCACATATATATATATATACTTATTATGTAAATATCCAATAATAAACGTTACGTAAAATGTAGTTGCGTACATGCCATGCGTATAACAAAGCCGACACTTGTAACAATGGAAGCAGCTGCGTCGATACGACACACAGTCAATTTCGACAATAGAAACGGTGATTGACGCGACCTAGTCGTTAAGTTTCCAGGGCGTCGCCATCGAAAATCTACAGCAGTTTCACACGTACACGTACACACGTATAAGATGGATCGGTGTATATATAATAGTATGACCGGATGATAAATCTAGCGCGTCAGTTGGTCTCGTTGATTTCACGAACAACAGTACATCCATACGCGTATACGTACGAGTGAGTTTATTTTTCGTGTATCCATACACATAAACGTGTACGTGCGTATCAAGAGGCGCGTATATGTATATTATGCCTTGCCATAGATAGCGCATAGCTCTGATGAAAGAGCTCTATTTTACGCGACTGTTTGCCCGGCAAACACCGAGCGGGCGTTGGTGGTGCACGTATGATGGAACTCCCATCCACCCAACCCCGAGATTTAATAATCTAAGAGCAGTGTGGGAGGATAAATATATATATATATATATTTATGTATAGGGTCGGCACGGTTATTGGCATTGATTAATCCGAGAAGAAGAACACAGGGGGAGGGAGAGTTATAGGTTTGCTCGATCGCGCTTCGTCTGTTGAAGGGCTCCGTCGATGTGAATGTTACGCAATGAAATTTGATTTTACTTTTACCCTCCCCCCGATTCCGTTATCTCGCGTCGCCCTTTCCCTCCGTGTGGTTGTTTTATCCGATTGAAAACCACATTTATTTTTCATTCCACGGTATAAATGTGCGCAAACGCTAGGGCCGAAAACCATTCCGATGTGCTGCTCTTTTCTCGGGGATCGATCAAAGTGTGTACGTGCAAGAGTAGTTGGAACGATAAGATAACGGAGGGCCTTCGTGAGTAAATTGCAGTTACCTTGGCAACTACCGGGTGAAAATACACTCGATGCAACAGTTTTGGTTCCCAGGGAGGAGCTTTTTTTTCCCAACCCTCTCCTTCCCTCTTCCTCCACACTGTACCTATACAGCTTTGTAATATTTAACCGGAGGGGTGGTGGCTTCATTTTCCACGCACCGGCACAAAGCCATTCCATTGAATTTCGGAGTACGATTTGCATGGATCGACGGGAGTCGCGTGCGGTAAAAAAACGCGAGGTCGACCAATTACTGCCCACGGAGTATAGTATAATTACCACAGAGAGTTTTCGGCCCTTGAGCTATTTACGGAGGAAAAAAAAAAAAAGAAAGAAAAGCCACAAACATATACAAAGCCGGAGGAGGAGCAGAGGGTTCTACGGCGCGGAGCTTGGTAATTTCTCCCGTGATTGGCGGGAAAAGCTGGCTCTCCCGTTCTCGGGTGAGCGAGCAATTATATACGAAGAAGGAAAGTCTACAACACGGCACGGAATATATCCTTACGGCAGGAGCTAGGAGGAAAAAGCAGCAGCCAGATTGTATGTATATGTTGGTGCACGGGAGAAAAGCTCGAGGGGTGGAAGATCGAGGGACCCCCATTGGAATCGCAGAAACGTCGGAAGCACGCGGTGATGGCAATTACACGGCAAGAGGGTGGACGACGCGCGCGCGATAGGAATATTGTGTAGGTACTATATATATGCCCCTCTTTCTTTATACATGCGTACGCACATAGGTAAGTCTCCTCTCTCCATTGATATTTTACATATTTATTAATGCACGTACCCTTCAACGAGACCCTCTTTCCGAGCGCCGTCCATATATATATATATATATATATATATATATATCTGTACAGCTACTTCCAACAATACGCTGACTTGTTTAACGTTGACTCGGTTGCAAGGGGGGTGTGTGCGAATTACACGAGAAGGACACACGCAGGGTCGGGCTGGTTCATCGCTGAGCTTGCGCTTCTACACGCACACCACCGCAAAAAGGCTCAAATCTCCTATACAGCTCCGCGACCCTCGCTTATTCCAATATATAACCCACACCGCGCACATGCATATGTTATTATATAGTCCTGTAAACGGAGGTTGTTTCTTTTTCTTTCTCTTTGACCTTTTACGCTTCGGTCCTTCTTGGCGCCGGCACGTGTCGGTTTTCTCCATATACAAAATTGATGAAGTCCTTCGTAATCAACGGGAGGTGTGTTTATACAAGCATATCGGGACAAAGAGAGTATATATTTTTATATGGTGGACGACCGGAGGGGGAATCCCAGATCTCTGAAAAATGTAACATTCGGAGCGAAGGAAGACTAACGCCGTGGCCCGATACATCATTAATCACGTATACATATACAGTTTATTCCGTATCAGCTGTATACGGGGCAGGGGGGGGGTGATGGGTAATGGATGATGGGTCTCGAAAACAAAGGGAGGGGATGGGAAGGAAGACACACACGTATACACAAAAAAGACACGATAATAATATGTATATGTTTGACGTGCGGAGGGACTTACCGAGTTTATCTTTGAGCCCGATGCACTGGGATATGTGCGGGAACTGGAGTATCTTGCGCCATTTCTTACTCTTTCGTTTGTTGCTGTCACCACCGCCTGCAAGCAGAAAGGAAAATAACAAAATATAATAAACACTATTACATAATAATGGGACTCGAGAGTCGACAGTTTTCGGGATTGCTGGTTATATCGTATACGGGAGGAAATAAGAAAGGGATGCGCCACGAGATACTCGGGGGAGTGCAGATACAGAGAGTTTTCCTCGGCAATATAGCTGAGGGACATTGAGGAAACCTTGGGCGCTATTCGATCTTCCTTTTCATCCCCGACGGTAACAACCATATACATATTATACATTGTCAGCCGGAACGGAATACCAATATATACTCGCGGGGTGTACACATGTTGTACTCGAATGCCTCTCGTCGTCTTCGAGAGATGTATATGACGTTGTTCCCTTGGGTACTTAATGCGTCTCACTTGACATACATGCACACCATATATCGACGGCTTGCATCAAAATTTGGCAAACGTTTCATCGACTCTCCAATAGGACAATCAAAAGTCACGCGTGTGCTCGGAAATGAAAAAAAAAAAAAAAAAAAAAAAAAAAAAAAAAAAAAAATAGAGCCGTGCATCCTTACGCGTCATAATATTGTTAACCAATAGGACAATCAAAAGTCACGCGTGTGCTCGGAAATGAAAAAAAAAAAAAAAAAAAAAAAAATAGAGCCGTGCATATTCGCGTTGAACCTAAGTACCGGGTAATTACGCACACAATTTTGCGTACAGATGTAGCCGATGGCATGCGAGTGTGCATATACAATATGGTCCCAAAGCCCATGAGTAAACACAGCCGATGATGCGCTTATCTTACTAGGTGAATGTTCATCGTCATAAATCGTATCTCCTCCTCTCCGTCTCTTTTTTTTTTTTTTTCGCGTTACTGTACATACACATGCATAAGTATAGATACAATATACACTCGCCATCGACGCGTCAGCAATGACCAACCGATACGGCTTAATTAGGGTAATGAAAGAAGGAAGCATGTTTATTGACAACTGTGGAAAATACATGTTATACGTATAACGAAGTCAAGTGGCGTTATGTATATACGCGTAAGCACCTGTACGGTATAAGGTATAGTTGTGACTTGATTGCGACGTGCGCATCGGGGAACGAGGGAATAATTTGTCGAGCCAAGCAGAAATCTCTGGAGCGCTACACAACCTATTATACGGTATATAGTTCGCGGGTCTCTCATTCTTCCATAAAAGTGTGCTCTAAGCTGTCGTTGTTATCAGCCTGCAGCTGATGCGCGACAATGCATGGCTGATAAGCGTGTGCGTGTCTCCTCCTCCTTTGGGTCCTCGATTACGTGTATAACGCGATGTGCGTGCAACTACATCATTTACGTGCCCGCCCCCCTATCTCTCTTTTTTTTTTTCTTTTTCTTTTTTTTTCCCCGTGCGCATCTGTACTCGCTCGCATGAGCGTGAAATCGAAATAACGTCAACGTCGGAAGGGACAGGGTAGCCAGCTAGGACGACAATATTCATTTTGGCGCTTGATGAAAAAAAAAAAAAATAATAAATAATGTCCCTCGACGCATCGCCAGGCATTTTTCATTTGGTATATAATTGAAATTCACGGAGCGTCAGCAGGAGGCGGGAATTAACTTTTGCTCCGTCAACAGTTGGTTGGCTTCTTCTTTTTTTTTTCTCCATTTATTTTTCCGAATGAACAAAACGAAGGAAAAAAACAACCTGTCCAATAAATTATCGAGTTAACGCGGCTCTTGAACTGCGCAGTGGCAACCTGATAGTGTATATATATATATATTTGTTATACGTCTCTTGGATTTTCCAATGAGCTCTCTCTCTCTCTCTGCATTTGTGCGGTATTAAATCTATGTTTACCGGAGCACGTGTGTATGTATACACCTTAATTTACAAGTGGCACCTATATATATGTGTATGGGGTACAAGCAGGTGACGCAATGACAAAGATTTATCACCGATTAGAGCACCTCCGGTACAATATAACGCGTCGCAAGAGTCTATTTCGCATTGGAATGGAGTATGTTATAGGTACAAGTCCTACGCGTCGAAGGGGAGGAAACAACCTTGTATCGCTGGTATACATGTGTATATGTACAACGGCAGCAACAGCATTTATCAAAATCAACACATGCCCCTGGCCACTGACGCACGCGTGGCGTGGTAACGGAGCGTCACGTGTGTACCCATTACTTACCCACCCACCCACCTAATACGGTATGCATCAGTGGTTGAAATAAAAAAAAATAAAAAAAAAATAACGCCACTGACTACTCTGTTTTGTAACTATGTAGGCTATCGGCTGACAAGTTTCAGAGCACAGTCACGTATACCTATAATACTACGTACATTGATGTCATGTATTTATTCATACCCACCCCTGTTCGTGTATGTTTGGAGCCTTTCCCAAACTTTTAGCCGCCAGCGAGAGAATTTTCATTTGGTATTCGTTTGCAAACAACTTACGAGTCGTCTCAACTTGCGGCTCGCGGCGCAACTTCTTTCGACAAATTGAATAGCCTCCCGCCCCCCCCTCTTCCCGATCTTAAACTTTATTGTTTCGGGCAACTTTCTATATGTACATCAGGCCGGTGCTTTTGTGCAGTTTGAAGGGTAGAAAAAAAAAAAGGGGGGCAGGAACACACGGTTCGGGCTGGCCTTTCATCAGCGCGATTTCCGGTTCCTCCCCGATTCGCCCGCCGCCGCGCTGATTTCAATTAAACGAGTCAGGGGGAATTCCCATTTGATTTTCCGTCCTAGGGTACGTGCGAGTGCTCACCCCAGGCACACCTTTTTTTCGTTTTTTTTTTTTTTTTTTTTTCTTTTTGTTTTTCCGTGACAGAGCCAAAGAAATTGATTTCTTCCCATCGCTTGTGCGAGGTGATTACTACTCGTATACGAGATGGTCGATGTATTTTCCTTTGGGTAATAATCGACTTAGCACCCGCGCGGATTAAATTTAACGAGTATATATACTATGTCGACCATTTATCGCTTTCTCTTTTGTCTAGTGAAAACAAATGGAGGAAATTAATTTTGATAATACATGTAATGTAGATGTGAAAAATTTGGCATCACGTGTGTAATTTACCCCTCCGAGTTATGCTTTTTTCCTCGACCCCCCCCTATCTTTTTATTCACTTGTGTGCCTTTCACGTGTTTTCTCGGTATTAAGTAGATTTCAAATAATGACGGTAAATTAAGACGGAGTACCTTGACTTTTTTTTTTTTTTTTTCCTTATCCCGACTCCAAGTCTCGCGTGTGTGACACAGTCCAAAGGACACGCGCTATTGTCCGAATCACGCGAGCTTTCGGTACGATACTACCCTCAGGGTCGTGCAAGTACACGAAACATGTGAAGATACTTTTCGTTGGTTTTCTGGTAAATGTATATTCGTTTCTCGATGGCTTATCGAAAATCGTACGCGTACATTACGTAATGAGGTGAAGAAAAAAAACGGTTTTTTTTTTTTCAATTAACGACGAGTAAACACCTATTTAAATTGAATGGCACATTGTGGCCATTTCAACAAATTAGATTAAATTCAAGGTTTATTAAAACGTCACTTCAATCATCGATAACCGGTAGCCGGTATTGCTCGAATTTGAAAAACAAGCTCGTGTTATCTGCCCCTTTGTATCGGCCAGTTTTTTCACTTCGTTCGGTTTAATCACGATAAAAGCGCGCGGATACATGTGCATGTACTAGAATCGTTTGACTCGGAATTCGCAGTTTTTTCACACTCGAGTAAATTGATAAATATTAGCTAAAAGGTTGACTTGCGAAGTGCTCGAGGTAGCTTAGCAACCTATGCACGGCGACAGTTTATTTCTCAATAGTTTCAAATTGACATTGATGGTAAAAAAAAAAAAAAAAAAAAAAAAAAATAGAAGTGTGGTGAAACCTTACGCGTCATAATATTGTTAAAAAGTAAAAAAAAAAAAAAAATTCGAAAACATGTGTAAAATCCTTAGAATATTTCAATCTCCGATCGACGTAATGAAAGCAAAGCAGCGCCAAAAAAATGTGCATCTGAAATTTCAACGTTTTTGCAAAGTCTACTTTTTGCGTGCTGAACCCCATTCATTTTATAGCAGCTGTCAATTGAATTTTCCGACAACTTCCAAAAAAAAAAGANATCTTGGTTGCTCTACTAATGCGCGCTGCTATTCCCTTACCTCTTCCTCCTCCTGCAAATTAAAGATTTTTATTTTTTATTATACATATTACATTATATTTTCTATTTTTAGATGATAAACATTGTTTGGGCCCCTTGACTTGTTCAACTATAGGTTTTCTATATACTGTCAATTTTCACCTCAAGAGTTGTAACGGTATGGAAAATAAATTAAACTACAACAAAAATGCTCCAATCGTAATAAAATTCTGCACGGAAATTCGCTTTGAAATATTGTATTTGTGATCGGAAACCAAAAACTATCGAAGCCTTATTTTCCAATGGATAGCTGATGGGTGCTGGTATAACTCGATTCGCCCTCGGCGCTTCCTACAGCGAATTCACAGCAAATAATACAATACGCAAAAAGCTCGGAGACGTCGAGGTGAATAAAATCATAGAGGAGCTGCCCGCGCATACGTGAGCTTTCGAAATCGGAAACCCGTTTTATACCTATACTTTTATCGGCTGACCATCCGCAGAAAAAGAAAGGGTGATAAAGTGTGTATTTTTTTTTTTTTTGTCAAACGTGAAACAGGTGCGTCCTCGAGATAAGACTGAGCCTTTCGATCATTCGCGCGGTGCGCTCGTCACGTAATCGCTTTACGTAAATTTTTATCGTTTACCAATCCAAGATGGGTATTGTCCTCTCCGTGCACTATACACATCCCGTAACAAGTATATACATATATATCTCTTTGTTTCTTTGGGCTGTCAATTGAATTTTCCGACAACTTCCAAAAAAAAAAAAAAAAAAAAAAAAAAAAAAAAAAAGAAAATAGTTGTACGTGCATCCAATTTTCCTGCAGCAAACGGAGAAAAAAAATAAAGACGCAAACGGGTCTCCAGACGCGATCTTGAACTTGGCCGCCGCGTTCCGGGTCGTTAATAATTTGTCGTGAATTTGCCGCTTTCCTCGAGTCGAGAATTTCGCAGGTGCACGAGCGAAGAAAGCTGTCCTCGCGGAACAGCATAAGCCATTATCGCCCCCCTCTTCCCCCATTCTGATGTATATATACACATACACCATACACAGTGTTGCTGCTGGTAGTTAAAGAGCTATAGAAGGTAAGCAACATACAGGTATACATGTTATACGTATGTGCACCTACATCGCTGGGTCGTTCGGGAAATCAATATTGGACGCTCCAGTTCACCTATTCCTCGGCTACACGCGCCCCAACGCCTATACATACACGTGCACGCCTGCATGATCCTTTCGATACACAATATCTGTGTACATACACGCGTTGAT